GTCTGTCTCGCCTCACTCTTCTCGTCTGTCTCGCCTCACTCTTCTCGTCTGTCTCGCCTCACTCTTCTCGTCTGTCTCGCCTCACTCTTCTCGTCTGTCTCGCCTCACTCTTCTCGTCTGTCTCGCCTCACTCTTCTCGTCTGTCTCGCCTCACTCTTCTCGTCTGTCTCGCCTCACTCTTCTCGTCTGTCTCGCCTCACTCTTCTCGTCTGTCTCGCCTCACTCTTCTTGTCAGTCAGCTGGACTCACTCTCCTCACTGGAGAAATGAAATCTGATCTGTGATGCGACTGTCGTTCGGCACGCTGCATTGAGCAGCCGCGTTCAGTTTTTAATTGTAGTGTCTGTTCTTTTATTGAACTAAATGATTTTTATTACTATAAAAAATCAAAACGACGGTGGGGGGTCGGTGCTGCGGTGGGCAAGGGATGTAACCGGTGTTGCGGCTTAACACCAGTATCACCGTCAGCACAGTCTATCGCGGCAAGCCTAGTGTGTGTGTGTGTGGCTAAAGACTGTGTTTGTGTGTCTTTGTGTGTCTGGCTAAAGACAGGTGGCCATTACTTTCTCTCTCAGCTGCTGGCTTTGTGACATGTGTGTGTGTGTGTGTTGAATTACAGATGCTGTTATTCTGTCAGTTGTTCTGTTTAGCCGTGGGTGGCATGCAACTCATTTTACTCATGTAATGTGCAGTATTTCTGAGTAGAAAGGTTTGTTAAACAGAAAAAAATAGGGCGGCACATGATTTTTTTTCTTTTGGGGATTGATTGAATTGAAGTCTGAAGGTGAAAGGTTGAAGCGTTCCTGTAGCTCAAACATTAGAGGACGATGCTAGCAACGACAAGGTCATGGGTTTGATTCCCAGTGTTAATTAAATGCAATGCAAGTTGCTTTGGATAAATGCAACTGCCAAATGCATAAATGAAAAACCAGCTCAAGTTTTTACGTTTTGAATCCTTTACCTAATTTGGTGTTCCTGGTCAAAAATATATTTTTTTAATGGCTTCTAAATCTCTTGTTATACTACATTGTTACCAAATCTTGCATTCAATCTTTTTGTCAACTTGTTTTCTGTCAATTAGCGCAGTTTCTGTGTTTCTTTTTGGATCTGACTGATCGTAGGCATCATTGTTCTGAACTTATGCACCTCAGTTTATGAGCCAAAATTATCCACAAATAATGCTTTTTCACTCAAAAACCGAGCAGCATGAGCTCAGATCAGTGAGGCCTATGATCAGTCAGATCCAAAAAGAAACACAGAAACTGTGCAGAAAACAAGTCGATAAAAAGATCGAATCCAACATTTGGTGATAATATAGCATAATAAATACATTTTTGTAGGACAAACTACAAGTTTTTTCTGACCAAGAAAAAAAAAATCCCAATATATTTTTTGGAAACCAAAATAGTTGTAGCCTCTGTGATCAAAGCCAGTAAGTTTTAGTCCAATGCATTAACATTAGCTAGCATCTTCAGGAAAATGCAAATCCTCTCCGGTCAAAGTGACCCGAACACAGCATGAGGGCTAGGAACGTAAATAGTGGGGTTTAATTTACACTTCCAGACGCTACAGGATCTTCACACTGGGTTACTAGATTTGGGTCAGCAAGTGTAATCCAGAGCTGCTCTGGTTTTTAACACACTTTATTAGTGTGACAGTAAATCCTGTTCCAGCACGAGCGAAGGATTCATTACCCTGGAGCACAAAACCAGTCATAAGGGTCAATTATTTGAAAATCTGGAATCTGAGGCTGCAAAAAAATCAAAATAATGAGAAAGCCATCTTTAAAGTTGTCCAAATGAAGTTCTTAGCAATGCATATTACTAATCAAAAATTAAGTTTGGATATATTTACGGTAGGAAATGTACAAAATATCTTCATGGAACATGATCTTTACTTAATATCCTAATGATTTTTGGCATAACAGAAAAATGTATAATTTTGACCCATACAATGTATTGTTGGCTATTGCTACAAATATACCCCAGCGACTTAAGACTGCTTTTGTGCTCACATTTGATCAAGATGTTCATGTTTGAGTTCTCAGCATCTCTAGAGCTCGTATTCCTTCCTGAAGATGATTTATGCTTCACATGAGTGATAAACAGATAGATGTTGACCGCATGCGGTTGCATATTGATGAAACAGATGTCTGTGTTAATGGGCATCTGTGCTGCTAATCCGGTTAAAGCAAAGTTGAAGGATTTGCGGTGGCAGAGTGCAGGAAGGTGACGGTGTTGCTCAACAATCAGGCATGATTCGGCTCAGCTTCACCAAGCTGTGCCGCTTTACCGTGGGTTTTTACTGTCTGATTTTTTACATTCACAGACTATTTTTCTCTGTGTGTGATTTTTGTCGCTCATAAGCGTGTGTTTGTGTCTGGTCTCTTCCAGCTGGCCGAGTACCGGCAGAGGAAAGCTCAATCTGATGGCCAGAAGAAGCAGAAGAAGAAGAAAAAGAAGCCGGAATCGGACGCGGAGGAGCAGACCGCCGTGTTTTCCCTCCAGAGCGGAGAAACCGTCACACACGACCAGACCTACACCATTGAGGTGAGCAGAGTTCACGATCGCTCATCCAGACACTGCTATGTGTTTGTTTATTGCTTTGCTTTTATAGTTTTGTTAGACAGAGGACACTTCATAACTCTCAACTAGGCACTAAAATGGAATTTTTACCAAAAAAATCTATTTCAGATGTTTGTTTATTTAATAATCGGTTACTTAAATGTAATTAATATTCAACACTATAATGGATGTATGCAAACATTTAAAATTACAGATAAGGCATTTTCATACAAACTTTTAGGTGATATTTATTCTAATCCAAATTGTTGGAAATATAAGCGTTTACATTTAAAAACTTGTTCATGACAGATTTATTCAATCGTATATTAAAATATGCAATAAATAACAGGTTAAGTAAAAAAAAAATATTTATCAATATGCTGCTGCTCTCTAGGGTTATTTTTTCAGGGTTTCTGTCACAAATTAAGGCCTTAAATCAGAGCAAAAAGTCTTAAATGTTGCCGTGGAAACGACGCTTGTGAGTGTTACTGTGGAAACAGCGCTTGTGAGTGTTACTGTGGAAACGGCGCTTGTGAGTGTTGCCGTGGAAACGACGCTTGTGAGTGTTACTGTGGAAACGGCGCTTGTGAGTGTTGCTGTGGAAACGGCGCTTGTGAGTGTTACTGTGGAAACGGCGCTGGTGAGCGTTGCCGTGGAAACGGCGCTGGTGAGCGTTGCCGTGAAAGCAAGGCTTGTAAATTCATATAGTCATAGCATTTAATGTTGCATGTATTGCAATAATTTAATACCTTCATCAGTATTTTCGTTTTTCAATGCAAATATTTATGCATCCTTAAATCAACATTTACTTTATGCATTTACTTGAGATGTAAACGTGAGCGAATGTAATGAAAATGAAGTCTTGAAAAATGTAACAAAATTTAACCCACGTGCTCAATTCAAATGCATTCGGCCTGTTTGTTAAAACAAAACAAATATCTGTCAATGGGGAATGAAAACTTGTTTTCCCTTTGAATTAATAAATATATTTGTTCTTGTTTTAGTCAAAAACTCACTTCATTTTGATTAATTTCTCATAAAACGACAACAAAACATTTAGAGATCATATTGACATATTGTGTTGCCTTCGATTCATTCCTTTGCTTGGTCTTATAAAGGTCTTAAAGTCTTAAATTTACCTGTATAAAACCCCCAGAAACTCTAGCTAACTATCAAGATACTTTTAATGGGGTTCCTGAGCTAAATGTGATGTTATGCAAAACCCATTTCAGTTGAAACCAAAAATTAATGAAAGAGTCCGTTCCCTCATAAATAGTTTTTTATTTTTTTTATTGTTTTTGACTATCTATAAAACTCACAATGTCCTGATCCTCAACTGAGCTGTGGTGTTTCTGTCTGAAATGCCTGTATAGTGCGATTTTGAAATCGTTATGATTACGGTTACTCAAATAATGAATATAATGACATTAATGTAATCACAGTACTCTGTTTACAGGAGCTCCAGCTTTAATGGCATTATGAAGGTGCATGTAAACGCAGTGTTGTTTCTGTCTGAATGCGTGTCGTGGGCTGGTTATGTAGACGTTACTGCAGGCTGTTGTTGTGTATGAACTGCTATAACTAATGTTTAAAGGTGAAGTGTGTAATTTCTGCAGCTTTAACGGCTCTGAAGGGAATTGCAGAAATAATGACCCCAAACAAACACAGAGGCCATGCATTATTGAAGATCGCGACAGTGATCTTCAATAGAGTGACAGTGATATTTTAGAATCAGTGACATACAATTATAGCTTTATTCATATTTTGAATTTGAGTTTTTATTTTTATATTTTCCATTCTCAATGTAATTTGTTAAAGTTTTAGTAATTTTATTGTTTTTGTAATTTATTAGTTTTTAAAATATATGTATATATATATATTTTTTTTTTCCTATGAAATATTTTTTATTTATTTTTATTTTAGTTTTAATTATTTTAGTACTTCAACTGAAAGTTAGGGTTAGGTGAAATGTTCTCGGTACTTTTAAGGGTACCAACCGAATTGCGTCGGTACTACCGAGTACCGATTCACGTTAAATCAATCGGTGCCAAATTTCGGTACCTGAGAATGCATCTTTGCGCATACGCTACAGAGAAAGAGAGACCCTGTGACGTGAGGTCACCCCTGCAACTCGTTCAAACAACACACAGGGCAAGCCGAAATGTTCTGAAGTGTGGTTACATTTCTAGGGCCATGGTTTCTGAAAAAACGCGGACGGGATCGTGGAGTCCATTCATAAAAACGTAATTTAGCATTCTGATTGGTTCGGATAGCATACTGCGGGAGGTCGGGGGCACGGAAAATCGTGCTATAAAGCGATTTAGAAATCGCGCGCACTCAAATCGCGATTTTATGACGATTCCGATTAATCGCACAGCCCTACTAGTGTCTGTGAATATTAAAATGCAAAAATATGGTTTAAATATGAATCCTGCATGTTCTGCTTGCCTCTGTATGTATGTATGGCGGAAACGCGGTTTTGTTTACTACACAAATACTGAAGCACGCGTGACGCTCGCGGTGATTTTCGGCCTCTGCGTCTCACTATATGACGCTTGAACACAAAAACATAATCTCCAGAGCTGCTGTGAGAGTCACCGCGTGAGAATTTTACCGTTTCATTTGAGAAAACTAGCATCATCATACTGTATACACACAGAAACTTCATGGCAACCTGTCAAAATAAAAGTGCGGTTTAGCATGTAACAGAAATATATTACTCTTGTATTACTTTTCTACAGTATAATGTACATCTTTAAATATTCCATTTCTATCAAATGTAAATAAAACAATTAAATGATAAAAATAAATATTACAACCAGATTAATCACTTAATTGTAGAAAAAAATTATACAATTATTAGCCTATTAAAAATGTTTTTTTAAAGGAATATTCACCCAATTTTTCTTCCATGTATTAATTTCAACAGTAAACCTCAGTTTGTTTGCCAAAAAATAAAAGGGTTTAATTTTCATTTGATTTAAAATAAATGTTTAATGCCTTCATTTGATTTTCAGAAAAATTAATCCCCCAGCTCCTACACAATCTTTGGTTTTCCAGCATTTTTGTGTATTTGAAGTTGCGGTGAGTTCAAAAATGACCATGCGAAAGACGAGAAGGTGTGGGAATATTTTGAATTAGAAGGAAACTGAGAAGTTTTGTGTAAACTGTGTAATGTCAAATTGTCTTACAATAACTCTACTGGAGCGATGCGTAATCATATTCAATACAGGCAACGTAGGCGTTAGCTAGAGGCTGGCCAAAGCAGGCAAATGTCAATCACGTCATTCACTACAACCCGCCGGTGCTGCGATCCCATCCACGCCATCTATTCTTCTAACGAACGACACTCACTTCGGTGGTGATGCGGGATGTCCAGTCTGAAACTATATCGGCTTGCTTTTCTTTATCTCTGCGTGCCTGCGACTTCAGTTTCTGCCGAGCGCGTTTTTTCAAGTGCAGGAATTTTATTGTTAATTGCCTCAGGTCCCGTCTTTCACCAGACCACGTTGATAATTTCACTGAATAAATAACGCATGGTCTGAGTAAGTAAAATGGGCATTGTTGCATTGTTTTGTTTTTAGACTAGATAACCTACACGAAGTATGTTTTTAAAAGCCGTTTTAATGTTATTTCCTGATAAACCTTCCTATTGTTTTTGACTTGTGTTTTAATATGTTGGCTAACGTTATATGAAGATTAAGAATTCTGTCAGGCTATTGATTGATTTTCCATTGTTCTGCATTTCCCCAGCTGATTTGAATAAATAAGCTATGCTTTGGCCGACGATGAGTGTATGCTCTTCTTGTTTTTTTCTTTTTAATGACCGCCTAAAATGAAATGATGATAACGCGAGGCAAGTGTGCGGCAAGCGAAATTCATTGAGGGATTTGACAGTGTGATTCATACATTAAGTATTTCAAATATAGGCTATTATATATGCTACACGCACGCACAGAGTTTTTTTTCTTTTTGGGTGGTTTCTTGCTTTTAGACTAGTCGACTAGTCGGATACAAAACTTTAGTTTAAACGACAGTCAAATTAGTCGTCGCGCACATCCCTAATTTGAACCCTTTCCAACAATAACTGTATGATTTTGAGACTCATCTTTTCACACTGAGGACAACTGAGGGACTCGTGCACAACTATTACAGAAGGTTCAAATGCTCACTGATGCTCCAGAAGGAGAAACCATGCATTAAGAGCCGAAAACTTTTAGAATTTGAAGATCAGGGTAAATTTCACTTATTTTGTCTTCTGGGAAACATGTAAGTAACTTCTGTAGCTTGTGAAGGGCAGTACTAAATGAAAAAAATATGATATTTAGGCAAAATATAAAAAATGTACACATCTTCATTCTGTTCAAAAGTCCGGCTCTTATTGCATGGTTTTTCCTTCTGAAGCATCAGCAAGCATTTGAACCTTCTGTAATAGTTGCATATGAGTCCCATATCATTCAGCTAACAACACGGTATAAAGAATCAAGGGGATGTAAACTTTTAAACGGGGTCATTTTTACAAGTTATTTTCTCTTGTGGACTATATGTAAACTTCTGACGCATGAACAACTATCACTTAACAAAAATATACAGCTGTGGATCATTCAGGTAACAACACAGTATTAAGAATCAACTTAATTGTAAACTTTTGAACAGGGTTATTTTTATAAATTCAGCTATTATTTTCTCTTGTGGACTATATGTAAACTTCTTTTATGTGAAATATCGAACGCAAGTAAGTAAGAAGCATCATCACCGGCACACTTGAATAACACAGATAAACTATATTGTCGCAGTCGAGTGTTTATTGTCTTTGTTTTATCATTCAAAAGATTTATATGCTCCGTTTACTCAATTACTGATATAATAGCTATGCCTTTGTCCATATAAGGGATTTCCTGGAGGGTCACGAGTTCCGCTACTTCTGTGACTGGATATGTGGATTTTCTGTGCGAGGGCGCCCTCTGGCGTCCAGTATGAATGAAACAGACATCATGTGTTTATAGTGCTAATGGCCAATCCATCATTTTTTGGGGAATTTTTATTTATTTATTTTTTAGTAAGTATCGGTTCAGACACTGTTTAGGCACTGGAACAGTTTTAAAAGTATTGGTTTGGCACCGGTATCGAAAAAGCCCAAACGATGCCCAACCCTAGGGTGAACACACATCAGCACATTTTAATTTTCGGCTGAACTATCCCTTTAAAGACTACTTTCTCTATCCATATATAGACATATTCTTTATGTATATTTAAGCAGATTATAGAATATTTATCTTCCCAGCTCTTTTGCCCTCTTGATAAATGTATGCGATGTGTGGATGGTTTTTAAAGCCCGGCAGGTTTGTGGAGTGTTTTCAGTTGTAGATGAGTGTGAAATTAGTGGTTGCTCAGGCAACAGACAACTGCGTTTGAACTGGTTAAGGTGTGTGTGTGTGTGTGTGTGTGTGTGTCGGCTGTCCTTGCAGCAGAATAGCAGCGCTGGCGTGATCTCGCTCTATTCACTCAGCTCTCAATGCTTCCGTGTGCTTTATCAACCGAGGTTTCTCCAGGAGTTTCACCTCCGTTTGTGTGCTTATGCTCAATCTCTTTGTTTGAATATAAAACAATCATCTTTAAGCACAGAGAGACTCCTCTGGATGCTGATGTTTCAGTGTGTTTCTGAAGTGCAGTATGTTGGTGACACGCGTTTGCATTTAAATCACCACGGCTAAGTTTCAAGTGCTTGTGTAACTTCCTACTGTAGCTGTTGCCTTGGAAACAATGCTTGTGAGTGTTGGTATGGAAACAGCGCTTGTGAGTGTTGGTATGGAAACAGCGCTTGTGAGTGTTGCTGTGGAAACGGCGCTTGTGAGTGTTGCCGTGGCAACGCTTGTGAGTGTTGCCGTGGAAACGGGCTTGTGAGTGTTGCCATGGCGACGCTTGTGAGTGTTGCTATGGAAACAGGCTTGTGAGTGTTGCCATGGCGACGCTTGTGAGTGTTGGTATGGAAACGGCGCTTGTGAGTGTTGCTGTGGAAACGGCGCTTGTGAGTGTTGCCGTGGCAACACTTGTGAGTGTTGCTGTGGAAACAGGCTTGAGTGTTGCTGTGGAAACGGGCTTGTGAGTGTTGCCGTGGAAACGACGCTTGTGAGTGTTGCCGTGGAAACAGGGCTTGTGAGTGTTTCCGTGGCCGACGCTTGTGAGTGTTGCCGTGGAAACGGTGCTTGTGAGTGTTGGTATGGAAACGGCGCTTGTGAGTGTTGGTATGGAAACGGCGCTTGTGAGTGTTGCTGTGGAAACGGCGCTTGTGAGTGTTGCCGTGGCAACGCTTGTGAGTGTTGCTGTGGAAACAGGCTTGAGTGTTGCTGTGGAAACGGGCTTGTGAGTGTTACCGTGGAAACGACGCTTGTGAGTGTTGCCGTGGAAACAAGGCTTGTGAGTGTTTCCGTGGCCGACGCTTGTGAGTGTTGCCGTGGAAACGGTGCTTGTGAGTGTTCAGAAAGCAGACAGAACTCGTGTTATATGGTGAATACGCGTGTCTGATGGGTCACATTAGGGCCTTTCGCACCGCTTTAGTTCCAGAACTAAATGGACAGTACTAAAGTACTGGGACGATTTTGCGCGAACTATTTCCCAGTACCATTTAAAGGGTTGCATTCGCACCGACAGTGTGTACTAGGAACCGGTCGACAGCGTCGTCATTTGTGCGCGGCGTTCAACAACGGAAACAAAGAAAAATAACGTTAACAACAGGAGGATGGAGGACGCTGTGATCGGAGCTGTTTTTGTTGTGTCTCGCGGGTGAGGGCGTTTTCGTACGCGTTTGGCCAATCAATGTCTACTTACGTCACGATTAGTACCAGTTGTGCTGGTTAGACCCTGCTCCGGAGTAGGAGCTAATTTGGTTCTCGAAAAAGGCAGTCCGGTACTAAAATCGCACCCAGTTCCGGCGGTGCGAACACGCCAAAAAGTGGGTAGTTCCACAATTAGTTCTGGTACTATGAAAAGTTCCTGCGGTGCGAAAGGCCCTATTACTGACCTGCTAAATTAACTAGCAGCCTTTAACTAGTAAATATAATCTGTGTAACTGCAATTTCGAGTGTCGTTTGCTACGTATTGCTTGTATTATTAATACACAAATATTTATTTATTTATTTATTTATTTATATAAGCACACTTCTCATCCAATTATCAATGTAAAAACTGTATTTATTTTCATTAAGCAAATTTTTTTCATTCACTTAGTACAGAACTGTTTACTTATTCATTTTCATGAGTCACATTTTCTCCTCCAATTACCAGTACAAACCTTTTTGAGTTAAACTCATTTTACCTCTGATTATCAAAACAAAAACTATTTATGTACTTCATGTATTTATTTATTTGTTTGTTTATTTATTTATTTTCATTAAGCAAATGTTCTCCTCATATGATCAGTGCAAAAACTATTTGTTGATGTATTTAAGCACACGTTACCCCCAATTATTAATAATAAACTATTTATTTACATTATATTCGTATGTTACAATTTGTTGCATTGTGACAATTTTATTATATAGTTAAATATTATTCTATTTTATTTTAATATTACTTAAGCTTACATAGTTTAGCATTTACTTGTATACTGTATTTGTTATACTGATGTTAAAATAAAAAGTCCTAGTATAATAGAAGTGGGTTAGGGTAAAAGCTGCATTAATAAATGTAAACACAAGAGAGGAATAGTGACTAACAATTGTGACTCTAGTAAGATGCGAATTACAGAAGATCTGTTATGACTCTTAACAAGCAATCAAGCTCCCTGACTTAATGGTTTTACTGGTTTTGACTGGTTTTCTGTGGCTGTCACTGCCTTGCTTTTGTCTCCTGAGCCTTCATTTCAGGACGCTTCTCTTGTAAAAGCGTCTCGCTCTTGATGAGTGACCCACTAACACCGGAGCCTCAGAAAGTAGAACAGTGTAGAAATTAATTGCACATGCGACCTCATTATGTTTTCTTTTTTCAGCCCGAGAGTGAAGTCTCGACGACAGCTGAAGACTGTTCATCTGAGGTAAGAGCCATAAGACTTTTAAACTATTTATTTATTTAAGCACATTTACTCCTTCAAATATCAATGCAAAAACAGTTTATGTATTTATTTATTTATTTATTTATTTAAGCACATTTTCTCCTCCAAATATCAGTACAAAAACATTTATTTATTTGAGCACATTTGTCCTCCAGTTATCAATACACAAACTATATATTTATTTATTTGTTTGTTTATTTATTTATTTTTATTAAGCACATTTTCTCCTCCAAATATCAATACCAAAACTATTTATTAGTATATTTAATAATTAAGCACATTATATTCATTAAGCATGTTTTCTCCAGTCATCAAAACAAAAACTATTTATGTATTTATTGTTCGATTTAAGCACATTTTCTCTTCCAATTATCTATACAAAGACTATGCATGTTTATCTAGTCTAATAATTATATATTTATTTTTTGTATTTTAATATTAGTTCAGTTTTTAAAATGTGTTTGTATCGACTCTTATTTTTTTTTAAATGACAGATATAGAATAAATGTAAAGTTTAAATGTGATCCGTTTGATGAGTGAATGTGTTTTATGAAGCGAGCATGTTTGTGTGTTTATTCTCAGGCTTAAGTCGAGTGAGTCAGAGTTTGGTTTCGTTAATGACTCAGAAACTCAAAAACTGTGCTTGTGAGCACTTTATGATGCAGCACAAGAGAGGAATCCAGAAACCTTCACCGCTTGGTCCTCTCCAGCTCTCATGCTCCGCGCACCATGTGACCTGTGGTGAAAACTTACAAAACCTGCCTAAATTTCTGACTAAAGTTGCTGCTGATCAGAGATTGACCGAAAGCACTTAGTGTTAAATAGTCAATAACCAGATAAAGACACATTCAACTGAGTGAATCTCTCAGATCCTGCTCAAGAATGACACCCATTTAACCTCAGAAATGATTTTTTTTTTATTTGTTTTTTCAATACAAAAACTATTTATTTATTAATTTATTAACATTTTCCCCTCCAGTTCACAATGCAAAAATGAGAATATAATAGAATATAATAATAAAAAAAATATTTATTTATTTTACAAGTACATTTTCTCCTTTAATTCTCAAAACAAAAACATTTTATTTATTTGCTGTTCAGTAAGCACATTTTCTCAAATTCTCAATACAAAAATATTAATTTTTTTAGTAGTTTATTTGTTTATTCATTTTCATTTAAGCACATTTTCTCAAATTTTCAGTACAACTTTATATTTGTATATTAGGATTTGTTGCATTATGACATTATTTTCATTATATATTTATAGCATTCAAGTAGAAAGCAGAAAATACGCTTACTGAAAAGTAAATGAATAATGTTTTTGTTTTGAGAATTAGAGGAGAAAATGTACTTGTAAAATAAATAAATATTTTTTTGTTATATTCTATTATATTCTCGTTTTTGCCTTGTGCTTTTAGTTTAGTTTAAATAGTTTATTTTGTGTATAGATAATTGTATTTGTTGTATTGGCTTCCATTAAAAAAAAAAAAAGCATAGAATAAAATAAAAGTTAAAATAAATAATAATAAAAAAATAATAAAAAACTAAAAATAATTAAAAAAAAATTAAATAATGAAAATGATTAAATAATAAAAAAAATCAAAGTAATTTATTACAGAGATGTAAGGCAGGAAAAATGTCTTTATAATAGTGAGAATCTTAGTAAGGATCAGCATTGAGAAAAATAAGAATTATGGAAGAGGTCAAAAATATTCACATTTTACTGAATTTGGAAGGTAAATATGATTAATAGTCATGGAAATTATGTAAAAAAAAATCCTAAAAATGTCTAAAAAAATCCTAAAAATTGATGCGCAGGAATGTGTGTATTTTGTGCAAATTGCGTTGTGTTTGTGCAGATGTTGTCCTAAAAGCACTCTCTCGTGAACTGACAGGTAAATGGTTTCCACGAGAGGACCGAGAGTGATCTTGTGATCGGGGTACAGTAATGTATTTGATAAAGCAGTAGTCGCTCCTGCATCGCTCTCAGTGTTTCTTCTGATGCACTAACTTCACATTTCCTTCTGCTTCACCTTCATCTCGGAGGCTCAGCTGCTTGTGAATGTGCTAATGTTAACTGCGCTCACACATGAATCGGGGAAGACGGGGCTGCTTGGCAGTTTGTCGGCCGTGTATTATGTTGGTGGAGGGGAGCGTGTAAAAGCCGTGTGAACTACACACACTACCGGTCAAAAGTTTGGGATCAGAACGATTTTTAATGTTTTTACAGGAGGTTCTTCTGCTCATCAAGGCTGCATTTATTTGATTAAAAATACTGGAAAAAATTGAATATTGTGAAATATTATTATGATGTAAAATAACATGTTTTTATTTTAATATACATTAAAATCAAATTTATTTCTGTGATGCGCAGCTGTATTTTCAGCATCATTACTCCAGTCTTCAGTGTCACATGATCTTCAGAAATCATAATAATATGCTGATTTATTATCAGTGTTGGAAACCTTTTTTTGGAAGCTGTGATACTTTTTTTCAGGATTCTATGATGAATAAAAGTTAAAAAGAAAAACATTTATTTAAAATGGAAATCTTTTCTAACAATATGCACTACCGTTCAAAAGTTTGGGGTCAGTACATTTTTATTCTTTCTTTTTTTTGAAAGAAATTAAAACTTTTATTCAGCAAGGACGTGTTAAATTGATAAGAAGTGATTTTATATTGTTAGAAAAGATTTATATTGTGAATAAATGCTGTTCTTTTTAACTTTTTATTCATCAAAGAATCCTGAAAAAAGTATTGCAGTTTCCAAAAAAAATAAATATTTGTCAGCACATCTGTTGATAATTCTAAAAATAAATCAGCATATTAGAATGATTTCTGAAGATCATGTGACACTTTATACTGGAGTAATGATGCTGGAAATTCAGCTTTGCATCACAGAAATAAATTATATTTTAAAGGATATTAAAATAGAAACCATTATTTTATATTGTAATAACATTTTGCAAGATTACTGTTTTTTTCTGTATTTTTGATCAAATAAACACAGCCTTGATGAGCAGAAGAGACTTCTTTAAAAACATTACAAGTCTTACTGATCCCACACTTTTGACCGGTAGTGTGTATATGTATATATATATATATATATATCTAAATTAAAATGTATAATGGTTTGTAGCTGTAGTTTTAGTGAACTATAATAACCCTGGGATTCAGTAGGCAGTTCTCAGGTTCTCCTGACCGAGCTCCATCACCGTTTCTATGGAAAGGGCTTTATAATGAGCGCTCATGAATCTTCTCACTCTGTCCCGATCTCTCCGGCAGGAGGAAGATCTGCAGCCGTCCGAAGCGCACATGGAGCCTCAGAGCTGCATACAAAGCATGGAGGACGAGCTCGCCGCTAAGAACATGGCCATGGAGGAGCTGAGCCGCGAGCTGGAGGAGATCAGGGCCGCGTTTGGAGCTGAAGGAGTGCAGCAGGTACGTGTCCTCAGACCTGCGCTGCTTTCGTGAAGGACTCGTGAGTCATGCTGGATGAGTGGGTGATGGATGCCCACACACATGACACTGATCTGACCTCACTGTGATTGAGCTGAGCGGATCTCATAGCTGTTCACATCTCTGCGTGACTCCGCTTTGAACAATACGAACGTCTTCCTTCTTGACATCGACTCTATTAGGCTGCCAGGAAAGTCACTTTCTGTCAATTAAATCTGCAGGAAAAGTGCTTCATTGAAATATATATGTGACCCTGGAGCACAAAAAAAAAAATCGATATTGAAAAAAAATGCGATATGCGATACCTTGTTACAAAATGCAATATTCGATATGCAATACGATATTGCTTAAAGTGTGTAAAATCAATTTAAATGATATTTTAAAATATTTAAAAATGAAAATTATATAACCAATGTGTTTCACATTCTTTCTTGGAAAATAAAGAATCACTACAACTTCTGAAAGTGACCAGCAGTGTTTTAGCAGTACTTAAAAAGTAATGTCACAAATCAGAAAAGTTATTTTAACATCAGTGTGAACATACAAACAAAAAAATTAAAGACACTAATTTTATATCATTGTAACTTTGCTTTCCATACACTTTAAGTACTTCTTCATATACCACAGCAAAAACTATAGTCTGAGAAAGTTCAAACATGATTAAAAGCAAGTGAACAGTCAGTAAAAAAAAAAAAGAAAGAAAAATAAAGAAAAAAAAAGAAATACACAATTTACAAGCATAGATAAAATAAACAGTAGTATTCAGGTACAGAAATTTAATAATTAAGTGTAAAATAACACTGCATAGTGTTCACTGTATGAATTAAATTTAGATTAATCTTTGTTATAGCCGTTTTGTTGTTTGGTTAACATTAGTGACATATTCAGCAGCACATATTTATAGGCTGCTGTCCCTTTAAATCCGACTGCACGGATCCAGTAATAATGATACACATCCGATTTCTTTCTCCGCTGTTTACATTCATTTAAAACATAACCAACTGCGTTTACGAGAATGATCGTCGAGACGGGTACCATTAAGGAGGAGATGCGAAAGACGAATCAACTCTGTCTGAAACGTGTCTCTCTGTGTGTGCGCGCGCTTTGCACGTGTGAGGCAGAACTAAAGAGGCGCTGTGCGAGATGCGGCTTTG